GAGCCATTTGGCCACAAAGACCTTCTGTAGCCTGGGCACTGACTTCAATCCCTGGTGTTTGAGGTTCTGTTTCAATCTGTGGCCTTTTTATTGAGGTTAGGAATTCAACATAGTTGTTTTTTTAATATTGATGCTAGCAATTAAAAGTAGCTTCCTGCTTCAGGAAGTGGGAAGCACTGATGGAGCAAATGTGTGTTTTAAATAATTCAAAATTGCAGAGTGTGGCACAAAACCAACCTCCTTCCACTTTCAAATGGAAACTTTTTGTTAAAGGGAGGCGGAAAGGAGGCCCTTGGAAAAAAAACAAACCCAAATTATTTCATGCCCAGCCATCACAGCTCCCCTCCTCAAACAATTTCTGGGCTGAGCACGGTTGGAGGGACAAAAATGAAAAGAGTGCTTCAGTAATTTTAAATTGCTATGTGTGATTGAAATTACTGGATGTCAGTATGTTTCTCACACATTGCTATTTGCTCTTGTTTACAAGTGAAGATGAGTAGATTTTCTCTGTGGTACAGCTTTAAATGTGTCAAATCTACCTATTTACAGTGGTACCTCAGGTTAAGTACTTAATTCGTTCCGGAGGTCCGTACTTAACCTGCAACTGTTCTTAACCTGAAGCTCCACTTTAGCTAATGGGGCCTCCTGCTGCCGCCACGCTGCCAGAGCACAATTTCTGTTCTCATCCTGAAGCAAAGTTCTTAACCTGAAGCGTATGTAACCTGGGTTAGCGGAGTCTGTAACCTGAAGTGTATGTAACCTGAAGCGTATGTAACCTGAGGTACCACTGTACTGGCCAAGAAATTTTTCACTTCCGCACAATAAAAATAATAGCTGTTCTTGCACTATCCCTGTAGTCTACGTAACACCACAGGTTGTCTTACAGGAGTTGGTCCCACCATCACCATGTAAACGGGGGGGGGGGGGCTAGACTAAGACTCTTCCCTCCCCAACCCCCCAGAAACCTGAATTAGCGCTGTCCGCAGACACTTCTGGGTCACGTGGCCAGCGTGACAAGCTGCATCTGGTGAGCCAGCGCAGCACACGGAACGCTGTTTACCTTCCCGCTAGTAAGCGGTCCCTATTTATCTACTTGCACCCGGGGGTGCTTTCGGACTGCTAGGTTGGCAGGCGCTGGGACCAAACGACATTAGCGCACCCCGCCACGGGGATTCGAACCGCTGACCATGCGATTGGCAAGTCCTAGGCGCTGAGGTTTTACCCACAGCGCCACCCGCGTCCCTAATTAGTATGTTAGATACTCAAAAATGTAAGAAGAGCCTGCTGGATCAAGTCAATGGGCCATCTAGCCCAGCATCCCATTCTCTCAGTAGCCAACCAGATGCCTTTAGGACACCCACAAGAGAACTCTCCCCTCCTGTAGTTCCCAGCAAATGGTTTTCATGAGCAGCATGGCTAGTAGCCATTGATAGGCTTCAGCTATTGATAGCCATGTTTTTAAATTTTTCTTTTAAAGCCATGCAAGTTTCCTTTCCTCCTGTAGGAGCAAGGTCCACAGTTGTATGAAGAAATGCTTTTATTTATTTTTATCTGGCCTGAATCTACCAACATTCATCTTCATTGGATGTCCATGAATCCTAGTGTAAGGAGAGAGATAGACAAACTTTTCTCCATCTGCTTTCTCCATGCCATGAATAATTTTATAAACTTCAATCATGTCACCTCTTACTTGCCTCTTCTCTAAACCAAAAAGTTCCAAATTCTGCAACCTTTCCTCATAGGGGAGTCACCCCCTCAATCATTTTTGGTTGCCTTTTTCTTTAGCTCATTCTGGTGTTTCTCATTCTGTTGTATGTGAACACTGAGCTTGTTAGATTCAAGCTTTATCCAACCAGAGCAGGGGTGACAATGCTGTGGTCCTCTGTATGTTGTTGAACTCCAACCCCCACCAGCAACAGGCAGTATGGCCAATGGTCAAGGATGATGGGCACTGTCATTCAGCCACACCTGGAGGCCTACAGCTTCTCCTCGCATGTCTTAGGTTAGTGATATTGTAGAGCACCCTTCAGTTTAGGGCTTTATCAGGGATGAGGAATTGGAGGCTATCCAGATGTCTCTGGACTTCAACTCCCATCATCCCTGACCACTGGCCATTCTGTCTGGGCCTGAAGGGAGTTGCAGTTCACATTTTTACATTTCCTTAACACCATCCTGAGTTATACAGGTGTAACAGGTATCACAGAACAGTAAGACAAGTGGAATAAAAAGCTGAGAAAGAGTCATGGGTTGTTGGTTTCCCATAACAGATATATATCAGGTGACACTTTTAAGTGGTGGCTGTTTCTTCCTCGAGAAGTAGTTTATTTGGCAGTAAATACATTTGTGGAGAGAAAGAAAAAAAATAACAGTTTTTGTCCCTAGCAAATATATATTTATAGAAGGTAGCATAATTCCAGCAGAATGTATGCTAAGAGTTTAAGGATCATTAGGAACACTTTTGCTGCTTGGGGAGCATTTCAACACGCATATAATGTATGGTTGGATGGTACGAGGCACCAGCTGAGGACTCCCTAGGGAAGAAGATTCAGAGCCAGGGGATTGGTGGTGGGATGACAATGAGTGGTCAGAGGGAGAAGACTGGTGGGAGGAGGTGTCAGAAGCAGAAGAGGGGACAGGGTTTAGTGATCAGGAAGAGGCTGTGGCAGAGCACCGTTCAGACTCTGAGGAAAAAACCGAGGGTTGGGCAGGAGTGGGGCCAGGTGGCAGAGAGACTGACTATGGAAGAAGACTATGGAAGAAGTCTCCCTCTCCTACTTGCAACAGCCTCCCCTCCCCCCTGGTCTCCTACATCACACAGTGAAATGAAACGGGCAGAGTAGAGGGGGGCTGTGTGCACAAACAGCCTGAGACTGCATGCGAAAGACCTTGGAGAGGAGGAGTTGCAGTGGGCACTGGGAAGAGTTGCTGGGGCCATGAGGCCAGAGCTGTGGATTGTTTCCTTGAATAAAGAGTTAACTTCACTCCAGCCCTGACACATAAGGTGTTTTGGAAGGTAAAATACTTTTATGTTTTGGATGCTTTTCCAAAAAAATACAAGTTGGACCAGGATCTGTTGATGATCAAGTATATCTGCTTTCCTCTTATTTGTTTGGGAAATCATATACTGTCCACATATTTCCTTATATATGTGGTTATTTGTCTCACTGGTACAGTGGTACCTCGGGTTACAGACTACACTAAGCCAGAAATAGTACCTTGGGTTAAGAACTTTGCTTCAGGATGAGAACAGAAATCATGCAGCGGCGGTGCAGGAGCAGGCCCCATTAGCTAAAGTTAAGAACAGGTTAAGAACAGTTTCAGGTTAAGAACAGACCTCCAGAACGAATTAAGTTCTTAACCCGAGGTACCACTGTATAGAATCCTATGAACACTTACATGGGAGTATGCACCATTGGACCTGATCAAACCTTTTTTAAAACAAACAAACAAACAAACAAAAAGCAAAAGCAAAAACAGACATGGAGATGTTTGCGGCACACAGCCTGGGACACAGCTGGATTCAGTTTTAAGAGGTTCCTTCTGGAGGTCCTTCTATGTTTGCAGACTCTGATGTGCTCTAAGTTATGCCAGGAGGTACTGATGCTATAACTTCATTTCCCACATTGCTCCAGAGTGATACTACATTAGCGGGATAGAGGGATGGCATCTAAACCTAGTCTCCTGGTACTGTTCAATGTATCAGGCTAATTTTTTTACAGGGGGCGGGCAGTCATAGGTGAGCCCTGTAAGGATGTGGGGACCTGGCAGCTGCCCATGGATGTGACCTGAAATACATCCATACCATAAGCTGGCATCTAAGAGAGAAGATACCAGAGAAACCAGCAAGTTTAAATCTAGCTTGATTTCAGGTTAAACCTCTTAATCACCAAAACAATTTACAGATTTTTTTTTCTAATCCTGATTCCCCCCCCCCAAGCCGGTACATACAAATTCCATATGCATATGTAGTTTTGCCACACTACTGATGTGTGGAAGAGCCAAAGTCAATTTTCTGATAGGGTGGTGATTCATGTTGCTCCAGGAGGAGGGTGAGTTTTCATTGAAATCACTGCTAAAAATGAGTTTATCCCACCACAGGTTAATAGTGCTTTTAATGCAATCTGTTCCCCTATGCTAGAGAAAGATGCACCATCCCCAATCTTCCAGCTATGTCAATCATTCCCTGGTCTTTATCCCTGTGTAAAGCAGTGGAGGATAATCAGAACTATTTTTTCCATTAGAGTGTTGACTCTAACAGAGCAAGATTTCAATTTTTCACATGCAAAAACTTTCTTGGGGACTCTTAATGCATTTGAGGTCAACAGTAGCTCCTTTGTACATAAAAAAATATTGTGTTCTGCTGCTGCTTCTTACTTTTATTTTATTTTTTTAGAAAAGGCAAGTAATTACAACAGAGGGTTATGGACCAAGGTCTTGGTTGCATATTTGTGAACTAATTAATTTATGGCAGGTATAGTTCTCTTTTCCCCCCTTTTTTTGGTTTGCCTATTAAGTGTTTATCTTTAATGGTTTGCTTCTACTTCTAATGGGTTTTGCTCCTGCAAAAAGGTCATTCCTGATGCAATGTCATAGTTGCCACTAGGAGATAGTAAGCATTAGAGCTTTTGCTTTATTATAATGTACACACAAAATGTTCAGCTGTTGTGCTGAATGACTTCCCAGGTTCTTTCTGAAGAAGAGCTGGGGCGAGGGGATGAGGATGATGGTGATGATACTTAATGGTATGCAAATATTAATAAAACCAAATTGAATTTAATAATATTTAAAAATGAGGAAGAGCTGTAGCTCTGTGGCAGAGAATCTGTTTTGCTTGCCGAAGGTCCCGGGTTGAATCCCTGACCTCTCCAGGTCGGGTTGGGAGAGATCCCAGCCTGAAACCCTGGAAAGCAACCACCAGCCATAGAATCATAGAATTATAGAGTTGGAAGTCTACTCTAAAGGTCATCTAGTCCAATCCCTAAAATGCAGGAATTTGCAGGTGAACAGTATGGGGATTGAACTCACAGTCTTGGTGTTATCAGCACCAAACTCTAACCAACTGGGCTAACTACCAGTTTTAACAGTATAAGGCATTTTCCTTTGCTCCGAAGGGCCTTGGTGTTGTGAGTTACTCCAGTATATTTGCACTGATTTAGCCAGAAAATAGGGTGATGGAAGGTAGCTCCAAACACACACACAAACACCAATCTTAGTGAGTCATTGTCTAGAATAATGCCTGCATACTCTTCTATGTATGGGACGCGGGTGGCGCTGTGGGTTAAGCCACAGAGCCTAGGACTTGCCAATCAGAAGGTTGGCGGTTCAAATCCCTGTGACGGGGTGAGCTCCCGTTGCTCAGTCCCTGCTCCTGCCAACCTAGCAGTTCGAAAGCATGAAGTGCAAGTAGATAAATAGGTACCACTCCGGCAGGAAGGTAAACGGCATTTCCGTGTGCTGCTCTGGTTCGCCAGAAGCGGCTTAGTCATGCTGGCCACATGACCCGGAAGCTGTATGCCAGCTCCCTTGGCCAATAAAGCGAGATGAGCGCCGCAACCCCAGAGTCAGCCATGACTGGACCTAATGGTTAGGGGTCCCTTTACCTTTACTCTTCTATGTAGCACAAATTAAAGGTCTGGAAGCTGGAAGTATCAGCCTTAGAGAATCCACATCGGAAATAGATTCCCAAAGTTTCTCCAATGTTTACAGTCCTGCTCAGCCCACAACAAAGAGGAGAATAGAGAATTTTTGGGTAACTTCATGTAAAGGACTGCATCTCATTTAAAAAAAAACAACCTGTGGGTGAAGAGTGCAGGGCTAAGTCTAAGCCATGTTCCTTGCATTGTGAAAGGCACTGACCTGATCTTCAGCCTTAGTGACAGCAGCCAAGAATAGGGCATCCTAGTAGGGTAGCCCTCTAACTTGAAAGGTTGCCATAAGGGGCAGTTGTCTGATGGCATCATCTATTTGAAGGATGTGTAGTCCAAATCTGGTTTAGAGAGAAGGAATCACCAGAGTGCAGATTGGGGGCTTGAAGTTGCATACCAATAGTTCACTTCTGCAAAGGAGATCAGTGCAGGGACACTTTCCCACCATGGAGATATGGACTGAATTTCTATTTAATTTTCAGGTATCATTTCCAAATGTCCTTCTATACATATAAACCTGCACATGCAAATTTTATGAAAATATGTCTGTTTTGATGCATTTCCCTTTTTTTGCTGAAGTGTAAAGAGTTAAAACATGTTAAAGGCTGTAAAATTAAGTCTTAGTTGAGTCTCTATACCAGCTACTTTGTGAATTTTTTTGTAGGTGGGAAACTTGATGCTTTGGTGCTGGGAAATGAACTTCCTGGGTACCCTACAAGACTGCAATTATAGGAAAGGGAATAAAAAAAACTGTTAATGTCCCTTTGTGCCATAAAATCCAAAGAGAGTAGTTAGATAGGCCTCATAAAAAGTGTGTGTGTGCATGTGTATTGTAAATGTGATATGCATAATGAATGGTTGGATAAATTCCACTTTCTCTCTTCTAGTTAGGCAGGGTAATATTAAACAATTAAAACCCTTCAGATGTCCATTAGTACTTTAGTCTATTTTTTGTCATTTCAAATAAGTTTTTAATGGTAATAGATGCCTACAGTATTCTCTTCATTATGCATAGATTTCCAGAAAGGTAATACCGGTAATTTTCATCTAAACGTTTTGTGATGCAGCGCAAATTAACTTCTGAGCCAACACAGTTATTTTCAAAGATTGTTGGGTATGATTTTTTAAATTCCTCTGCAGATTTTGAAAGACCCGCTGGAATGATCTAAAGTTAGTAACGTCTCTCTAATACAGTGGCTTTGATTTCAGTGAAATACCTTGGACATATGTGGTTTCAGGGTTATTTTATCAAGTCATGAATGCATGGTATAAACTAATGGTACGCCCCTGGATGTTAATACTGCAGAACAGTGCACAGAAGAATGTTATTTCAGTTGCTGAAATGTGATGAATGTTTCTCAGGCAGTATACCTGGACGTCTTCTGCTGCTGTGCTGTGTTATTCTAACTGCATTGTTTTTGGTGTACATTTCACATTGACTTTTTGTTTTATGTACACTGCTGTTATATTTGTGTGAGCAGCTTATTTTAAATTATTTTAAATAAAATAAATAATACATATCTGTGTTCCCATTTCATACATAGGAAATAAGAGCTACCAACTGGCTATGTAGTCTTATCACTACAAAACCAATGATGCAGTCAGCTAAATAGGCAAACAAAGACATTGAAGGGCCTGCAAATGAAATTCCCTGTAGCAAAGGCACTGTCAGTTGAAGCAGATCTATCCAAAATGGCAGGACAAATGTCCCACAAATCTGTCATAATGGGTCTTGAGTTCCAGATGGAGCTCTTTGGGAAATTTTGCACACGTAGTACAGACACCTGCTTAAAAGTGTGATCCTCACAATGTGCTTCTTATAACTGCCTTAAGTTTTAGATGGCTCCTCAAGCATATCTGTCTGTCGCTAAATCACCTTCTTAATGGTTCACTGTCAGGTTTTCCTGTCTTTGACTATCCTGTGTGTGATAAAACAAGATTATAATAAACACATCATTTCTTTTATGAGTCCTTTTTCTTATAAAATTTTCCCTGGCGCTATATGGCTCATCTAAAGAGATTGTCATGTTCCAATTCCAGTTAATGGAAGCCTATTGCTGCCATACCTTTTTAGTGGGAAGAGAGCTTGGAATTCATATGAGCCAATAAAGTTCCCATAATTTGCATTTTCATAACCCACCTTTCAGTGTTCCAAGTGTGACTTTCACTCTTAGGACAGAGCCTGGCTGTAAAAAGGAAAGGAAAGGCCCTTTAAAGGAATATTTGTCATCTCAGAAGGATCTTGCTGCCAAATCTTAATAGCATTTCTCACAAAAATGACTTCAATTCACTATCTGATGTGGAAGCAACACCGTAGAGGTTATGAAGAGAAGTTTCATGAATTATCACTGGGTTGTTGGGTGTCTTTTTCCTCTCTCTCTCTTTAAAAAAGAAAGGAAATGTGGAAGAGGATTAAATTCTATGCACACAAATCCAATGGCCCACCACAACTCAATGCACACACAGCATTGCATGGAACTGTTGACTGGTAAAATATGATCACTGCAGCTTTCGTAGCCTGCCATGGCCAGACCTTTGATGCTTTATCACTCAACAGCTGTCCATCAAAACTGGCATAAATAATGTGGGCAGGTGGGACAGCAGTTGCAGCAAAGCAGATCTATGACTTCTGAGCATGTCCCCTCCAGGGTTGCCAATCATGTGGGGGAGGAGGGATGAATCCATCTATTTCCATGACAGGGAAGGATGTGTGAGTGTGAAGAAACTGCAAAGTAAAACTCACGTTCATTATCCAGTTTTGCATCTGGACTTGACCACCACTTGAATGTGCCCCCAGAAGGCTGTTGAGATGATGTCAGGGACAGGCAGAGCTCTGAGGAGCGGGTGGAAGAGGTACCAGGGCCAGAGGTGGATCCATGGGAAGTGGGTAGCGATTTATGGGGTTTTGTGACTCCCATGTGGCAGGAGCCAGAACTGGAGGATAGGGAGGGGTGTGAGCAATTGGAGGCGGGGAAGGAAAGACACGGCATGGCAGAAGTGGAGGGGGAGACGGTGCCTGAAGGGAGAGAGCTGGCAGAATCCCCTCCATCCTCTCCCACACTGTCCCCCAGGACCAGAAGAGCCTTGAAGAGGAAGGCACAGCAAGAGAAGTCGCAAGTTGCTTACACTCTCACTGTCAGACAAAGGTACTTAAATTTGTGTGTGGGAATGATTCCACCATTACTCCAGCAGTCTACCTCAGAGGGCAAGCCCAGGGAGGGGCACCAGCTACAGTACCAAGCCACCAGAAGCGTGTGTGTGCATGCTTAGTGCACCTCAGGAAGTTCATGCTTTGTCAGTAAAGAATTAAAACTGCTGGCCATTTGCCCTCCTTGTGTGCTCAGGACATACAGTCATACCTTGGGTTACGAACGCTGTGGGTTGTGTGTTTTAGGGTTGCGGACCGCACTGAACCCAGAAGTACCGGAACGGGTTACTTCTGAGTTTCGGCGCATGCACAGAAGGGCAAAATGATGTCGTGTGCACGTGCAGAAGCACCAAATTGTGTCATGAGCATGCGCAGACGCAGTGCTTCAGGCTGCGAATGCTGCGGGTTGCAAACGTGCCTTCTGCATGGATCACGTTCTCAACCCGATGTATGACTGTACAGCAAGGTAGCCCTCAGGCTTCAACTGGCTCCCCAACCATGGAGAAGACAATGTTTGTCTACAGTGGAGGCTGTTCCGTTTAGTTCAATGGGGCACTGCCCCACCAAGCTCCAGTTCACCCTCAGCAAGTCCCCACAGGCCTACCTTCTTACATACAACCAATAGGGGGTCAGGCACTGCTGGTCAGCTTCCTCCTTCTTAATGTTGCCTTTGGAAAACTCAACAGGAAGGAGGATGGGGACAAAGCTAGAATTAGTTTGCACTGCCTATCATTGGCTTCCTGGCTCCACCTACTTTTGGCCTCTCCGCTTTCTGCATCATGAGTCCCAATGGGCAACAAGACACTACTGGTTGGTTAGCTGGGCCGATGACCTATCTCAGGATATGTCATTTTCTACATTCCTGGCATTGTGGACAGAATGTTACATAACTTTCTCCATTGACTGTGCTCAGGTGTTTGGGGTTTTTGAACAGTTTCTTCGCAAAATGAGCCCTGTGTTGGATTAATAATTCCAGCCAAAAATTCATGCTGGCAGATGGCTGGGTGCACCACTGGAGCCCCGCTTAAGATGATTTTGAGGGCTGAACTGGTGCTTAAGTTATGGGCGGCCATCTAATTGCCACCCGGATGTGCTGAGACACTTTCAGCTTTCGAAATGAAATTAGCAGTCTGGAGCTTATGGCTTTATGATCTAATGCCCCTGAAGGTGATAAATAATGGAGAAGAGTTACAGTGGAACAAGTTGAGAAAATGATTTCTAAACCTGAAATTGCCCAATCTATTTTGATGACATTGAGACCAGCTAGTTGGAAATTAATTT